AAGCTGAATTAGATATTTCTTTAAATCAAAAAGATGAGGAAATTAAGTTTTTGAAAGATGAAATTAAAAAGGTAAGTAATTACCCTAATTCTTACTATAAACTACCGTATTTACTCGATTAATTCCCTTCTCTCGAATAATTCCCCCTGCTTTTTGATTTCAACTTTGACGGTAATGGATAAAGTTTGGATTTTTTTGAATATTTTGAGTTGAAACTAATCCCTCCCCCCAATACCCTACTACTATAATACCCCATGCCACGGATTTGTTGAAATAATAATTCCACAGGGGAATTAATCGAGTAAATACGGTAAATCACATTTTAAATTCCGATTTGGAATTAAAAATAAATTTTAAACATAATTTTAAAAATAAAAAAATTCTTTTTAAAGTTGCATAATCAAAGCAATGATTTAATTAAACTTCAAACTAATTTTAATAATCTTCAATTAAAATTTAATGAAGAGAAGGAAAAGAATGTTAATTTAGTAAATGAATTGAAGGGAATGGATAAAGTTTAGATTTTTTAAAATGATTTTTTTAAATATTAATTTTAGACAATTCAAAAATTAAATTCTGAACATAAAAACGAGATGGAAGGAATAAAGCAAGATTTAAATCTAAAGGATGAAAAAATTAATTCTTTGGAAGTTGAGATTAAAAAGGTAATTAATTAATTTAGTTTTTACTACAAACTAAATTAAAAAATGAACAAAGTCAAGATTTTAAAAAGTCTGAGCTGCAAACTACTATTTACTCGGGTACAGCCCAAGTAGGCGCGCGGCCAAGTAGGCGCAAAGCCATAACTTGCTTGAAGATTTTCTAATCTGTTAAAATTTAGTATTAAACAATTCCTCTCATCGAGCTGGAGAGATTGGTACCAAAATTGTTAAGGTCCAAAAATGGTACCAAAATTGTTAAGGTCCTATACTCCAATAATTAAACTTTTAAATTTAATAATCTAAAATAAAAAATATTTTTTTAATTAATTAAAATTTTATTTAATAAAGGTAAATAATTTGACCGACAAAAAGTTTGATGGTTTATTTGAATTAAATAATTTAAATTCTGTGGTTAGTTTATTGAATAATATTGTATTTGTTAAAATTAAAAATAAATGGAATGAAATTGATAGTGATTACAGTAAATGTTGTGATAAAAATTGTATAAATACAAACAAACCTATTGGTAACTGTATTGAGGGAAATGGATATGTAAATTTAATTAATGATGAAAATATTAAATATTTGGTGGGGAAAAGAGGTAAATTACTTTTGAATTTTTGAAATTTAAATAAAATTATTTTTAGGTTATGATCAATGGGTTTATGTTTATGCAGAAAATCCATTCAAAAAACCACAAAATTGTTTGAATTATTCTTTATATTATTTTGAAGTTAAAAGTAAATTTGAGAAAGAATTAAATGGTAGCAAATCATACATGCAAATTGGTCTTAGAAATTGTAGTAAAGGCAATTATATTTATTATTCTGCAAAATATCGTCAAATATATAACGGAAAATACCTTCAACTTTCAACATCTTTCAATAATAATGATATTTATGGTTGTGGATTAGTTTATCCTCCAACTAATATGGTGAATAAATTTCCTTATATTTTCTTTACACAAAATGGAAAACAAATTGGTAAATATTTAATTACATTACTATAACAAAATTATTATTTAAAGGTAAAGCTGTATTGCTAAAAGAGAATAATGAATCATACAAACCTTATATTTGGCTGCGATTTTGTTCTGTTGAAGCTAATTTTGGAAATGATTTGGAGACTAAACCGTTTAAATATGACATTTCAAAACATGAAATTCTTAAAGAATTTTATTGAAATTTATTAGGTAATTAATTTTATTATTCATTTAATTTTTTCATCAATTTAATTTTTTCAAATATTTTTCGAAATTTGTTAGTTAGAAAATTTCAATTCAGGGCTCGGATCGACAAAATGCCACTCAAAAGTATCAAAATCTTGTAAAAAAAGTACATAGGGAGAAAATTTGCAAATAAAAAGTACGCTCCAAAAATTTCGGGTACGGGTTTCGAGTTTACCGAAAAATTCTTGTTATTTTCTGGTTATAACCAGAATTCTGGTTATTTCCTGGTCATTTGGGTGATATAGAGAGAGGCAAATTTGAAGAGATTAAAAAGACATTGTGGGATTTGGGGACTATGAGGGATATCTTGGTATAATCCCACTATATACTAATATCCCTCCGCCTGATCTTTATTAAAATCTCCAATTTCCTCCCGTTTTCAGCGCCGCAGGCAAAAATTTTGAGAATTTACGAGACCAAGAAGCCAGATTTCGGCTCTATCTGAAATGAAGTCCCAAATCAAATTTTTTCCATCTTCCTAAAATGAGTAATTTTCTTTACATTTCTCTCTATTTTTGATTTGTGCCGTACGGCTATAAATGCAAAAGGAAAAAAACGTGTGTATTGTGTGTATGACCGTGTGTGTCCGTGTTTTTTCTGTCTGTGTTCGTCCGAGTTTGTCCGTGTTTTGACTGTCCGAGTCGTCCGAGCCGGTTCTAAACCGGTTCCGGAGTTCGTCCGTGACAAAACACAGAAGAACTCAGACAGATAAAACACGTACGAACTCGGACGGACACAGACAGAGAAAACACGGACACACACGGTCATACATACGAACACACACGTTCAGTTAATCCTTTTACATTTATAGCCGTGCAGCACAAATCAAAAATAGAGAGAAATGTAAAGAAAATTACTCATTTTAAGGAAGATGGAAAAAATTTGATTTGGGACTTCATTTCATATACGGTCCAGATTTCTTCCATTTTTTGCGCCGCAGGCGAAAATTTTGAGAATTTTGAAGGTCCTTAAGCCAGATTTCTTCGTTTTTTCAAAAATGTTGATAAAAAAGTACATACTTTCAAAAAAGTACAAATCAATTTCTTAAGTACGGAGGTCGATAAAAAAGTACAATACTTTTAAAAAAGTACGAATCCGAGCCCTGTTTCAATTGCTTTGTTTGTCAGAATAAATATAAGGAAAATATGTTTGATTATTGATCCAAATCTAATGTTCGATTTTTAAAATTTAAAAATTAAAATTTGCCTTTCACAAGACAATTATTTGGATTTAATTTTTGAAAAAATCTTGTATTCACTGCGCAACTTATTTTATAATCATTTTTTGAGTGAAAAATAAACACAATTTAAATACGTATTATGTAACTTGACTGAAAATTATACCTTTTATACCACAATTTTTTTATTATTCAATTTTTAAATACTCAACTCCAATATTTTTAAAGAATTGTTTTTAAACACAATTATTATTACATTTTACTTTTTGTTTTAAATATAAAAGAAATTTAAAAAATTTGTTGACAATTTGAATTTTTAAATTCTAGTAAGTGATGATTCTAAAAAAGAGAAAATAGTAAAAGAAATTTCAACTTTTTTAAAGTTTTGTAATTCACCCTTATTATTCTCAACTAACGACATGTTTTTGAACGAAATATTTTATAGATAAGGAATTACTTGAGTAAATTTTAGTAGCGAGAAATAAGGGAAATAGATTTTAAATTTTAAAGACAATACAAAAAAACGCGAATGCAAAATCACTAAAAATTCTGTATTAAAGAAATTTTGAAAAAAAAATTTTTGGAAGAGAGAAAAAAGGTCTTCCTACTGTCCCTGAATGTCTAAACAATTTTGATCAACAATTTAGTTAAATTTTTTACGTTTAATCGAGTAATTGGAGGAAGTAAAGAGGATGTAGTAAATTTGAAGGGATAAAGAGGATTTATGATTAGATAGGATATCGCAGACTTCGAGAATCTCGAGTGATTTTGGACTAAGTGGAATATAGGCAGTTTAGCGGATAAAGAACTATTGATGGATTTGGTTGATTATAAAAAATAGGATTATTATCGAATTTGGGCTTAATAGTGTTATCGAAGACTCAAATATTTTTACATATACCCTAATCTTTCAAGAGTAGCTTGATAGTAACAATCGCCCGATAACACAACCAAATGCAAGATATATCATTAATCACTTCCAATCCCACTTAGGCTCTGCAATTTTCTAAATCAATCTCTAAACCAAAATAAATATATCTTCCTTAGCCCTTCCAGATTTCCTGATAACTATCAAATCCACCATTATCCCTCTCAATCCATGTTATTCCCCGATATCTACACAATCCATCAAATCTAAATCAATTCTTCTAAATCACTCGCTTAGACATAAAAAGAATTGATCAAAATCGAGGGAGTAGTTTTGGTACTTTGTTCATATCACGCCCCCCACCCCTATTTGAGTCTCAGATTAATTTTCCTCCTTTGCTGTCAATCATTTATTTCCCTCCTTTTTTAATGCCAATCATTTTCTTCCCTCAAATATTATAAAGGCAAGTTAAAACTTAAAAGGGCGCGCTGCCATAACGGCGCAAAGCCATAATCCACTGGAATATTTTTGTCCCTTCTCATTTTGTTATCAATCTCTTTAGCTCGATGAGAGGAATCATTTTATATTAATTTTGTTAAGGTTCGAAAATCTTGAAGCTAGTTATGGCTTCGCGCCGTTAGGGCCGCGCGTCCTTTTGGGTGTTCCATATTTGAGAGAAGAAAATGATTGGCATTAAAAAAGGAGGAAAATAAATGATTGACAGCAAAGGAGGAAAATTAATCTGAGACTCAAATAGGGGTGGGGGGCGGGATATGAACAAACTCCTTTTAGGGAGTAGCATTAAAAGATGACCCCGAAGGTTGTTAAATTTTTAGTTCAACAACCTAGTCCGGGTACGCTTGAAATAAATTAGCAGAAAAATAATGACATTTTATTTTAAAAACTACAACAAAATATAAAAAAATCCTCAGAATCATTAAAAGACCACAAAAAAATTTAAAAGACCACATTAAAAATAATCCTCATCGCCCTATCAAAAAACCACAAAATGAGGGATACAAAGCCCTGATATAAATTGAAAGAGTAAAACTAATCAAAACAATTTTAATAAAATTCTTTCAGAATAAAATGTCTCGGAATGTCATATTTAAATGGTTTTGTTTCCAAATCATTTCCAAAGTTTGTTTCAACTGAACAGCAAACCAGTTCAACATATGGTTTATATAAATCAGAATTGTACTTAGATAATACACCTTTGCCTAAAAAAACAATTTTTGTGAAATTATTTTTTATTAAATATTTACTTATTTGTTTTCCATTTTGTGTGAAGAAAGCATAAGGATATTTATTTATTTTGTTAGTTGGAGGAAAAACTAATCCACAACCAAAAATATCGTTATCATTGAAATTTGTTTTAAGTTTAAATTCTCCATCTTTCTCATTTATAATTTTAGCAGCCTTTGCAAGACACAGAATGTATTTATCTGTACTACAATTTTTAAGACCAATATTCATACGTGTTTTGTCAATATTTAACTCTCCTTCAAATTTGCATTTAATTTCAAAATAAAATAAAGAATAATTTAAACAATTTTGTGGTTTGTTAAATGAGTTTTCAGCAGAAACTACAACAAATTTATTGCAACCTAAAAATATTAACAAAATATTAAACGTCTACCCTTTTATAATTTACTTCCTTTCCCCACCAAATATTTAATATTTTCATCATTAATTAAATTTCCAAATCCATATCCTTCAACACAATTACCAATAGGTATTTTTGTATTTATACAATTATTTGAACAACATTTGTAGCTATTTTCAATTTCACTCCATTTATTTTTAACTTTAATAAATTCCTTTAAAAAATTGTTTAATACATAATTTAACTAACAATTTAACTAACCACATTTTTAAAAATCACATTATTTAATTTAATTGTTAAATCACCAATCTTTAAATAAATTAAATTTAAAAATAAACTAGGATGACCCTTTCTAAATCACTAAAAAGAAGCAAAAGGGGGCAAAATGATAAAAAAAAAGGCAAAGAGGGAAATTTTTAAAAACTTAAAAATAATTAAAATTTTAAAAACTAAGATTATTTTGCATATTTAACTAGTTTTAAATCTTATGCGCGGAAGACATCAAAGATAATTTCTAATCAGTTAGCACCTTTTCAGCGCTGCAGACGGAAATTCTGGGAGGCCTAAATGCCAGTTCTCATTCTTTTTCAGAAGAGATAAGGTGACAAAAGGATATTAATATGGGTGAAAATGGGCAAATTCCCCCTAAAGGTAGAAAAGGCCACCCTGAAATTAACTAGACTAATTTACATATTTATTTTATACCTTTTTAATTTCTACTTCCAAAGAATTAATTTTTTCATCTTTTTGCTTTATAGAAATGTCAGTTTCATTTTTTATATGTTGAAATTTTTCTTCCATAATTTGTAAAAAATTATGTTTTATTTCTTCAATTTCTTTTTCATGGTCAAAATTTATTTTTTGAAATTTCTAAAATTAATATTTAAAAATTCAAAAAATTAAAATATCAAAATAAATTCAAATGGATAAAGTACTAATATACATACAATTACCATTTATTTCATTAACCACTCATGTTACCGTGTACCGAAATTGGTACTTATTTAGTTTCCCACCCCCAGTCAATTTTTTGGAAAATATGTAAAAATGGTCAGTCTGAACAACAATTGTAGAAACCATCGAGCTGTGTCGAATGACACCAAAATCAACAAAATCCGACTTGATTGGACCGAGATAAAGACCCCTGAAAATTGAACAACCACAGGGGCAATTTTTTGAAATGAAATAAAATTGCACAAATGATAGCTCATTCGAAAGAGCTTGTCGAGCTGAGTCGAATAACACCGAAATTAACGTAATCGGATGAGTTTTGACAAAGTTATGACATAAGGTTGCCGACTCCGGTAGGTCTAAATAATGTCATAACTTTGTCAAAACTCGTCCGATTACGTTGATTTTGGTGTCATTCGACACAGCTCGATGGTTTCTATAATTGTTGTTCAGTCTGACAATTTTCACATATTTTCCAAAAAATTGACTGGGGGTGGGAAACTAAATAAGTACCCTGAAATTTGCGGCCCCAAGTTCATATACCAGGAGATGTGGTATAAAAGTTTTATATTGTCGATTAAAAAATTAAAAAATAAAAATTATTTACTCTAAATATTTTTTGTATTTTTAATTTTTTTTAGTTAATATTTTAGAGGCGGTACGACAATTTACCTTTTTAATTTCTTCCTCCAAAGAATTAATTTTTTCATCTTTTTGCTTAAGATAAACATAATTTTCAACTTTTAATTGTTCAATATTTTCTTCAATTAATTGTTGAAAATATTGTTTTAAATTTTTAATTTCATTTTCATGCTCCGAATTCATTTTTTGGATTTTCTAAAAATAATATTAAAAAAATCTTTTAGACAAGAAATGAAAAAAGACTTGCCTTTTCAAGTTTTAAATTAATGATCTCCAAAGAGTTATTTTTCAATTTCAACTAAAATATAAATTTATCTTAAATAAGTCGAGACGAACATGTACGACACTTTCTTGCAGAAAACCCTGGACCAGAGTGGCTTTTTTACCCTATTTATAGAGGATTTTCCCTATTTTTGACCTTTTCGCCCTATTTTTTCCCTATTTTCTCATTTGCCATATTTTTGCCCTATTTTTACTATCTTGTAAAATTTTAAAAATTCTTCGGATTTTGTAAGAAAAATGGTAAAAATTAAGGATTTTTGACTTCCTGGCCTTCCAAAATTCTCAAAATTATCGCCAGCGGTGCTAAAAGAGGAAGAAATCTGGCCTCTAGCCTCCCAAAATCATCAATATTTTCGCCTGCGGCGCTAAAAAAGAAGAAATTTGGCTTCTTGGCCTTCCAAAATTCTCAAAAATTTCGCCTTATTTGAAATTTTAAGTATGCCTAAGCTTTTAAAGCTATGCCTTGATTTTTGCGACATTTTTAGCCGATTTCGCCCTATTTTTGCCCTATTTTATAGCGCTGCGCCCTATTTTAGTGTTTTGGAAGGGGCCACCCTGCCCTGGACGGTAAAGCGAAAGTATCGTACAGGCGAGATGCGCCTGAGTTATTCAACCAAATTTTTTTGCTATCTCCTATTGATGGTTTGACTATTGAGGAACCGCCTTTTGAGTATATGAAAAGAATAAAAGAAATCATTCGGATTAAATAATGTTAATTTTATGATAAAAAATATAAAATTTATAATTTCTTGACTTGCTTAAAATGTGATAAGAATGAACCGAGAAAATATTAGAGTTAGCACTAAGTAAGATTATCCTATTTATTTTTGCCGATTTTAGCCTTGAAATTCCGACCTACACTCGCAGCAACAAAAAAGTTTTCTAGCAAAAATTCCGTTGTTTGTAACTTTTTTCATAATCATCGAATCAACCAAAATTTGTCAGTCGACTGAGCTGATTCAAATTATACATATATACAGTTTGTTTGTATTAGTTTCCGAGACATAATATGACTTTTTTCTTAATAAAGATCACAATTGATCAAGCCAAAAATTAAGATAAATTTCCTATCATAAGATTAACATAATTTATTTCGAATAATTTTTTTGCTATTGGAGTATCTTAGAAGTCAAATCATCAAATAGCACGCCGCGAAAATTTTAACCTCTAATTTCTCCATATTTTGTTTTAGACTTTCAATTATATTTTGTGATAAACAACAAGAATCACAAGAAGTGGATAAACCATCAATACTAGATGTTTCCAAAATTTCATTTAATTCTTTTAAATCTTCTTCTACAAGTGTTCCATCTCCAATTTTATTTTTAATATAAGTATTATCAGAATTCTCTAATTGTTTTGGTGTTCTCATTTTAATTTTTTTTGAAAATCTTCTGAAATTAATTAGCAATTTTAAATTATTTTGAGCAATACAACAAAGTTTTAACATTTTGACAAAATTTGGACAAAAAATGAAAAAAAATGTTACATTTTAGGGTACTAGTCGGTTTTGTACCTCCCTTTTTTCTTTCTCAAGGTTTAAAAATGGACATTTCTTCAGAAGAATGTAGTACTCATCAAGCTGCATCGAATGTGTCCAAAATCAATGAAATCCGACTTGATTGGACCGAGATACAGACCCCTGAATATTGAAAACCCATATGGGCGATTATTTGGAATAAAAAAGCTTATACAAATGATATTTCATTCGAATGAGCTCGTCGAGTTGAGTCGATGACAAAAATCACCGTGATTGATCAAGTTTTGACAAAGTTATGAATAAGTCGCCGACCCCATAAGTTTACCTAATGTCATAACTTTGTCGAAACACTTCAAATCACGTTGATTTTGGGGTCATTCGATGCAGCTCGATGAGTTCTACATTTCTTTGAAAGACCGACGGAAAGAGAAATTGACCATTTTTAAACCTTGAGAAAAAAAGGGGGGGTACGAAACAGACGATTACCGAGTTAGACAAAAAAATATAGAAAATAATTCTAAAGTTACATAAAAGTGGAAAATGAAGTATATGAAGGGAATGTTTTTTTGTTTTTTAAAGTAGAGGAGAATTTTCCCTCAATGTGACCCAGACGTTTTAATAACATCTTTCTCCATAAATACTTATTTGAAAAAAGTATGTCAACCATAAATGTAGTTTTTTCCCATTTTATGCAAGAAGCAAGTTAAAAAAATTTGAGGAAAGACTACGTATTTACAAACAGTATTTATAAATTTAAGTTTTGCTCGTACTCTGATTCGTACCTGCCTATTTTTGACCTCGTACCAGAGTTGCATCATAATCGGAAAAATTTTATAATTACTGTATATTCTTATTTACCTCCAACTAGATAACTATCGGTAATTCCTAGGCTGGCCCCTTTTTTTCCTTTCTATTTTTTTCTATTTTTTTAAATTTTTTATGGCAAATTGGCAATTTTTTATGGCAATTTTTATGGCAATTTTTATGGCAAAATTTTTTATGGCAAATATGGCATAGTTATGACCATTTGTTTTAATCCCTTTCAACATCACAAAAAGCATGTCCATCGGGGATTTGGCTTCATAATTCTGTTTAAAATCGACAAATCGAACCGATCATAGTATCATTCTACTCATCTCGAACAGCTCTTTTGAATGATATATTGTAAATAATATGTCAAGCAAAAAAGCTCAAAATGGTCAGGCGAACAATAAAAAAGGGGGGGCAGCCTTGGAAGTACCTAATTATCTTTCTACAAGAGTATGTATAATAAATTCTTAGATAAAACTCAGACTTTTTCATCAAGCCATAACTTAACAAATAAAAATTTTTTACACTGACTATTATGACTTTTCCTAAATTACATGCATCTAAAGTTTATTTTTAATTAAATTTTAGATTTTACTTTTACAAAATGTCTGAAGGATCTACAAATTCTGATTTTGATTTTTTAGTGGTAACAAAAATTAAAAATTAATTTTAATTCATTTTCAGCAAAATTGGCTAAACCAAAACAATAATAATTATGATTTTGATGTTCAATCAAAACTTGCTGATCTTTTAATTAAATTTAATGAAGAGAAGGAAAAGAATGCTAAACTTGAAGGACAAATGAATGAGGTGAAAAGGGGGGGTATTTATTTTATCCTATAAATTTTCATTACATCGATAGATAACAGGGGGTCGCAGTTTCGTGTTTAGCATTTCGCGGATTTTCGCGTATTTTGACTTCGCGTGTTGCTTTTTAATGTAAATCTCGCTTTTTAAAATCTGTTTTGGCACACCCAGATAGATAACCATTTATGGGCTTAAAATTTAAATTAAAGATGAGTGTCTCGTACGAAAAAAAGATTGGAGAATTAACAAATAAGTTGGAACGAATGAGTAAAAATTGCAATCGAGCGGTTAATTTTATTTAATTTCATTAATTAAATAAGTATTTAAAGCATTTTGTACAAATTAAAAATAAATGGTGTGAGATTAATGATTATTGTTGTGTTAATAAATGTTTAAATGAAATAAACACAAATAATATAAAATGTGTTAAAGGAAATGGATTCGTTAAATTAATTGATGATGAGAATTGTAAATATATTAATTGTTTGGAGGGGAAAGGTAAATAATTGGATAGATGTACTTTAGCCGGTGGCTCGCTCATAAACGGGTCAACCCACATATGTCATTCGTCTCGGCGAGCTCCGTCGAATGGTACAACTCTATATGCGGAAATGCCCATGAGCCGAGATATGTTTTTAAAAACCGAAAAACCATAGGCTGGTGCCACTTCTTCCCTAATTTCTACACAAATTATTTTTTTACTTAAGTAATTATTTTTTTAGGTTTTAATAAATACGTTGAGGTTTATATTGAAAATAATTTTGCTAAACGAGAAGATTGCATTAATTGGTCTTTATTCTATTTCGAATTCAAAGCTAAACGGGAAGGA